GGTGGACAGAACCAGATTTCTTCCTACTGAAGCTCACAGTCTGCCCTGATTCATTTTGTGACGGGTTTTAATTTCCTTCCAGCGCCTACCAGACGATGACAGTGCAGCCAAACTTCCCAGCATTTGCATCTCTGGAAGCACTACTGATTATCATGGCAAAGACGAGTACAAGAGACTTTGTATTAGGACAGATTGGAATACTGATGGGTGAACGAAACTGCAGCAATTTCACTCCGGCATGGGCGGCTGAGTGAAGAGCAGGTCGGGAGGCAAAACAAGGCTTTGGCCTGCGGTCCCTGCTGGCAGAGCCGCGTGGGTCGAACCAGAACCTGGCAGCAGAACTGGAGAACTCAGGTGCTTCCTGCGCTCCCATGCCGTACAGTGGTACAACAGGCGGGCAGCCAAAGGCGCGGGCCAGCCAGAGCCCCCCCGAGTGTCTTCTTTTTATCTTTATTTCATACTTGTACTAAAAAGTCTCTTAATTTCAATACACTTTCCATGTGTGGTTCATACTGGCAGTTTATATTATATTACTCAGTGCAGTGAGCTGAGAAATCTCCCGATTAATTATAGTAGTAGTTTACCCATCTATATAATTCTTCATAAATGTTACACAAGCCAGTAAACAAAAAGGCAAACCCCACAGATAGTTACTGTGGGTGTGAGTGAGACTGTACCTGTCTGCGTATTTTATAACATAGACGTTTATAGAGAAATTATAGTTTATACATCACACCAGAATATGGCCTACTATTAAAAAAGCATAGTGCCTGTTACCAGGTGTAACTGCTTGTGCAGTGCAGTCCTTAACCCATGGCTGATTTCCAGCAGTGGCAATTTGCAAAACGAGTTGTTTTATTTCTGTTTCTTCACTGATGTCTTCAACCTCTGGCATGTTCACTCCTCGGGGATTTTTTCTGATGGTGTTGCAATTCACATGCGTCTGCTCTCTCTGTAAGACAGTGACCGTATCTGCTAGAGCAATCGCAGTACATTTAATCTACAGCCTCTGGTCGTGATGCTGATAGCTTCTGCTTACCCGCCCGAGTGCTGATATAATTCCCCTCTTCTCTCTGGGGCACCCACCCTTGCTCTTTTTATCCTTAGGTTCCTCTCCCAGCCTTACACCTTCAGCCTAAGTGTCTGTCTTTGAGATACTCGTTCGTTCTTGCTTTACAAGATTCGCACGTTAGAAAATAAAAGAAGGAGCTGTTACGAGCTGCAGTACCTATGTGCTAGCGTGAGTGGCTGCGTGTGCGGAATGTGATAGAAGTTTGCCTGCAGGAGGCTGCGGTCAACGTCCCAGGTCACTTCTTGTCCTGCTGTCCCATGCACTGTCTCCTCTGCATTTCATTTATCTTCTCTTTCCCGCCTCTGCCTATGCTCTTTCCTCAGTCATCGTTTCCCAGCACTGTCCAGGTTATAAACTCATTGGGCAGGGAAGGCATCTTTTTATTTCTGCATTGCATTTAATGCCACCGCAGAGGTGCTGTGTAAACACCGAGGCACGTTAAGTAATACTGAAAGGCACAGTGTAATTAGTGTTGCGGGAATAGGAGATATAGAACTTAGCAGAGAAAGTATTTAACACGGAACCTTGTCCAGAAGCTCGTTAGGGCAACTACCCCCACAGGGCTAACAACTCTCTTGTACTGGGACAGAGACTGGGGAGAGGCCGTCCCCCAAAGGGAGCCGGTCCGTGGATTGCTTAGCCCCTGGCCCTCTGTGCTGGTGCGGTCATCTCCATAAAGACACAACATGCTGCTTGGACTTGAAAGCTTAGAGCGTGAGAGGTGGCACATGAGCAGCCAAGGCTTTCTGCAGAGCGAGTGCTCAGAGCAGAAAACAAAACTGGCTGCACAAAATCCCATCTTTGCTGTGATTTTTGCCAAGAGAATAGCTGTCTGTGATTAAGCTTTGGCTTGTCCCATGTTGTCATTCCAGAAACGTCTGAGCTGTTTCTTTCTTTAGAAATGGACACTAATTTAGGCTCATCGTACCCCCCAAAGTCTTCATGTTGGAAGCCTTCACGTTAGACCTCTGTGTAAGGTTAGTCGTCAGACCCCATCCAATAGTTCATTACAAGAAAAGAATGAGGAGCAAGGATTGTAGGTACCCTCCACAGCCTGCCTGACGCATCTGGTAGGTGCTGCTGCTGGTGAGAAGGGACAGGCTGGATCCTGAGTCTTTGCTTCCACAAGCAGCAAAAGCAGTTGTGTTCCTGAATGTGTTTCTAATTTCTTTCTGTGTGGTAATAAAGTACCAGCATCTTTTTTTCCTGGCTGTTTATTGTATCTTACTTTAAAAAAAATTCTCTCCCACATATTAATTTGTCTCACCCTTTTATCTTCCCACATGTTGCCAGCTGGTTCTTCCTGTTTGTCTTTTTTTTTTAATCCATTTAGAGGTTCTTTATTTAGCATTTTCTCTGGGAATTGTTTTCCTCCACCAGAAGGGTGTGTCAAGTCCAGCAGAGCCTTGCTTTCAAAATTGCTACTTTGGTATTATTTGGGAAAACTTGTTGTTCTTGATTTTATCCTGTTACTGCACATTCATAATAACTCAAAGGTGTTGTATATTATATTATATTATATTATATTATATTATATTATATTATATTATATTATATTATATTATATTATATTATATTATATTA